AGGAGCGCAATCTGGTCATCTCACTGCTCCCTAGCGGTCGCTGGGAGTTCTAGTGAGATACACATTCCTCAAAAAGTAAGGTGGTCGTCTACTCGCTGAGGAATGGGAAAAGAAGATCATCGATCACCAAAAACGATAATAAAGGGATTGCTATCTAATTAGTAGTTATGGATCTATTTGGCGGACGATTCGTCTCTGAGTGCAAATTAGCAATGCGTACAAATCGACGACCTTTAATAAGATGGTGCTCTTTATACTATTTTTCTGACAGTGGAGAGGATCTCTTTTTAGTACTACATAAATCTAATAGAGAATTTAATAGGAAGATATGAGATAAAAACGTTTTCATATGGGATGAATCTGCGTATGGTTGGCTGTCTGCTATTATTTCGATCAGTATGATCGACGTGATGTCCAATTGCGACCACATCGATATATGAGTAGATGATACTTGCATTGACATTTGTGTTGGATCGGTTGTCTTCGTCCTCTATCTTCTAGTATATGATTTCATGTTGCTAGGAGTTAATGCAATATTAAGATTAATTGTCCTTATTAAAACTTTAAGCAAGAAATTTTCATTATTCATGGATAACTACTGTTATTCATCCTAGTGAAATTTTATCTCCTTTACAAAATCAGATCTTTGACTATAAAGAAATCCTTACTTTAGCATGAAGGGATTCAATTTTCTCGCACCTAAATCATTAGAACATGGAATTTGCATTTGAAAAAAAAAACACTTTTTGTTGAGCTTATTAATATGTAAATATAGTCTCACAAAAGATATGAGAAGAAAGAGGGATGAGTTTAAAATATGAATTGGGGTCAATGCCTAGCAAAGTAGCAGTTATAGTTAAAGAAAAAAAAAATCGAAAGTAAACAGAAGATATAAATTAAAGAAGAAAATCTTAGTAGTGACAAAGACTATATATTTATCGTTTACTCTTTTTTTTTTTTTTTTTGAATATATAATATTTATCGTTTACTCTTTTTTTTTTTTTTTTTGAATATATAATGTGGATGGTACCAAGAGAAGAAATAGATTGTCATATATGTACCATGAAAAAAATGCCGCTCACGTTTCAAGGTGGAGATAAAGGGGGGCTAATGTTTAAAAAACAAAAAGGGGGGAAATTAAATATTCATGTATCTAATTAAATTTTTCGAAATTTGTTACTCAAGCAGCTATATCTGGATATATGACTCTATGGTTAAATGAATTTCGTCATTCGCATAGTGAACCATATTTTCTTTTTAGATCTTGTTTCTCAGTTGATAAATAAGAAAAAGAATTTGGACAAAGATCAAACAGTTAAAACGAAAACAGCATGCAAATGACTAATTATTTTTAACCAGACCAAACCAAAATTGTGGGCTCTAATAAGTTTGTCAAAGTAAAAATTGGGTTGGCAGTTGGAACTGGTTTTACTTGGGGTTGGTTTAGGCGCAATTACGTAAAGCCTAATTTTATTTGGGCGATCAGCTATTTAGTTTGGGCTCATGATTAATTATTAGAATTTAGCCCTCCCGTCAAAAACCCACTTATTTTTTACTCCAATAAAACCCTAAATTTTAGGGGTTATCACACATACTCCTATGAACTTATTTATTTCTATATCAATCCTAACGTCAAATTAGCACCATCAATTCTAACACCTCGTGCCGTAACTTACGAAATATGAAACATCCATACGTACAATATGTTATGCTTTCATAATTTTGATGCTACTAAGTCAAAGGCATAACTGAAATCCACCATTTTTCTCAGCACAATTGCTTAGCTATTGATCATAGCCTCTGCATACAAGAGAAAAATACATTTGTAATGTCACAGTGATTATTTTATTTACTATAAACCGTGATTACCCCCTGCATATTTCTTTTTCGTGTAGCTCTAACATCCTCGCCTCCGGATTGCATAGCCCCGAGCACCCGTCGTCCCAAACAGCCACCGACGACGGCCTGCATTCAGGCTCGCAGAGTGCCCGGTCATCTTCATGATGGACGTTCATGGCCAGCATCCAAGCTCCGATCGTCACGTCTTCATTGCTGAACAAACGAACGACGTCCCTTCTCAAGCCAACTAAGTTCTCAACGACTTCATACGATAGCGCGTAGATGCTGCCACCAGCGTAAGAGAAATATTCATGGCCGAGCAAATCTGATCGAGGCTCGTACCACTTCTGTCCTGGGTCAGTCAGGACCAGACCCTTGTGCATGCACCCGATGTAGGTGAGGGGGTGGGGGCGATCTCTTTGCAAGAGGAGAGAGAGTCGACCCGGCCTTAGATAAACGTCGTCGTCAAGCTTGACATAAAAATCAGCGTCAAACGATTCGTACGCCGCTCTGAAGAACGAGATGGTCTTGGCGGGGAGATTGCTATAACTCTCCTCGATGTCATCCAGCATCAAGAAGTCGTCATACTCTTCGGCTTCCCCTCTAAGTTCCGCCATCTTGGTCTCGTCGCCTGTCTTCCCGATCACAAATCGGAAAGCCAAACCCGTCGATTCTTCGAGTTGGCGAAGGCTTTGAGGATCGGAAGGGAACCAAGTCTTTCGAAGGGCTTTCCTCCTCTCTGTTGATCCGAACCCTGTCTGCACCCCTACAAATCCGAGCACCCGACGCCTCTTGCTGAAGCCGGGTGCGGGTGCAACGGATCCGCCCACAGTCCCATTACCATCCCATGAAGTTAGGTTGAAGCTGCTGTAGTTGTATAAAGCCATGGCTCCGATGAGGAATCCGAGGATTCCAATGGCGAGGCAAAAGACATTGAAGGCGGAGGATAAGCACTGACGACGGTGACGGAGGTTTGAATTAGAGTTGATGACTTTGCTCAGCATTGTGCAGAAGAAAGACGCTGTTAATTGGCTGGTTGAAGAAAACTTTTTCCCTTCTCTTGCTCTCGGCTTTGTTTTGCTCTCGGCTTTGTTGACGCACAGAAATCAGGCCGAGCTCTTATTATATAGGAATTAATACAAACACTAAACCGAGTAGATATGAAATCCTTGTCCTAGTGGTCCTAGTGTTGTACTCTCTTTATTCATTAAATCAGTGTTTGTTAAAATTAATCCCAACGCCATAAGAACTCAATATTCCATAACCCAACTGAGATTTCAAATCCTTATCCTAATCTAATACCTATTTTATTATATTAAATCATTATTTTAGAATTATAACACAACTAAAACACACGAATTTTTCTAAATTAATCCAAACACAACATGAAGTAGAACTCACAAAATCATTTTCTAATTAAATTAATCATCTCACAGCTAAAATTTCTCTACTATTTCAAAAGGAATCCTATTATAATAAGAGTTCTTACTCATCAAGTTTCTGCTTCAAAAGTTTACATAGTTAGGAACATCTGCGACTCAACAAGTTACCACACTCTTAAAATGCCGGCATTTTAGACTTGTCGCTTGTCTTTCCGATCACAAAGCAGAAGACCAGACCAGTTCCTTATGCAGCTACAATTAATATATCATTCTCATTCTGCATAAACATATACAGCACTGCTGGTGAGCTAACTCTAAGGGAAATAAAGGAGACCGAGGAAAAGAGAACGACAAAGAGGAAGAGGGCAAGCAAAGGAAAAGGGAAGAATAATACCGTGAAGACTTCAGACAGTAAGCCTTGTTGCGCAGCACTGCAAGAAGAGCGATGGCAAGGGATGGCATTGCAAGAGGCCCGCTCAGCTCCCCAATTCCTTATGCAGCTACCACCTCACCCAGATAAGAGCCTACACCTCCAACCATCGAGCAAACGATCCCTCCGCAGCTGTAACTGACAAGGGCAAGCAGCGCGATAGCAATCACCAAGAAGAGGCAACAGGTACAGACTCAAGCTTGTATTATTATTACGAGGGGTTTGGGCCACCGTGAGGGAAGCAAAGAGGAAGAATATCAACTGGTGTGGTTGAAGATTGCAGCGGCAAGGAGAGTGGTACAATGTTGGACAACGGCGGCGATGACGGCCACGGTGATAATAACGCTGTTGCAGGTGACGATGAGTACGATCTCGATTGTTTCAACGAAGAAGCCCAATGGATCCCGCCCACACATTACATTGTGATCCCAAAAAATCAGTTTAAAGTTGTTGTACAATGTCATGGTTGCAGGAAGCCCAGGATTTCAATGGTGAGGCGAAAGGTAGCGAAGGTGGAGGATAATTGCAGAGGCGGATTTTGTGCTCCGCAGAGAATACCTAAATCTGGTCATCATCTACGAAATATAAATACTAAACCAAGTAGGATATCAAATCATAGCCCAGCCATTATATTCTCTTCAGTAATCGTAATACGATTATAACTCACTGAGTGTTTGTAAATCCATGCACTAGAGCTCATACTCATCAAGTTTTCTGATTCCAAATTTAGCACAAGCTTTCTCAACTGACATAATTGCTTAACCTTATCTTTTTCATGATCCAATTAGATACCGCAAATTTATCAGGTTCTATCACCGCTCTAATAAAAATACAGAAGTATATCCACGGTTCTTCTATCTGCAATTTCAGTTTTTTCCCCCTCAAACAATCTCAGTGCATGTGAGCTAGCATTTCCTCTTGAATACTAATTGTTGAGAATAATCCGCTTGCATTCAAACATCCATCCGTTCTTCATCCAACCAACTGAATTGTGAGTCATAAACAATTCCAGCTAACATAATCCATGTATCTCTAAGCAGAAAATATATGTGGATGATTGCCCTTCCAGTTTTTGAAACCTTACTATCATAAGATTGTCATATAGATATATTTAAGAAAAATTACATAAACATGTTCCTAGAAAAACTAACAGCTTAATATGCACTAGAGGAAGAATAAAACTGATGCACAAAGTTCCGAGTTCTATGATATATGCACTAGAAAAACTAACAGTGTAGACATGCTTTAAGCTGACTAAACTGAGGAACAGGCAAGAGTAATCCGCACGAGTTGAAATCAAAGAAAATTATTGATCAACTAAGAGGTCAGACTATATATCCTGATGATAACCTTCGACATTTTGCAATCTAAAAAAAGTCCAAAGTAGTTGTCTAGTTGATGCATTAAATCCCCTTCTTGACAAAATTTCTATATACCACTATATCCATCCAAATTTTCTACTGCTTTCTTGTTACATTCAAACAGCTTATGGCAATAAACTTCCTCGCTTTCTTGGCAAGTGCAAGCGACAGATTTTGGATAAAGCCCATCTATCATATGGATCTATCTCTAAAATAAAATCCTACTATGTTTTTTGATAAAAATGGTGGGAGCTAAAAGCCTACTATTACAAGCCATAAGTCCAGCTTAACTTGTACAGAGACTTATCATGGAATCTCCCTTTATATGGTACCCTAAAATGTCATGGCAAGGTGCAATGCCCTACTATCATTAGACTATTAAATGGTGGTTTAATCCGAGAGGGCCTCCTCAGGCTAATAAGCAATCTGATCAGCCCACAAAAAACACACACAGTGGCCAATTATAAGAGTTGTAGGTCTAAAGATAATTTGTCAGCAAGAGAATACACATACAATGGCCTATTATTCAAGTCTGTTGACCTAGAAAAACTAGTGGCTTTATATGCGGAAGTTCTTAATTTGATGGTATAAGAGTATTACCATAAAAGGCTCTGCAAATCCTTTGATCAGATGCAGCTAGGGAGAAGATTTCTACAACACAATGCACCCAGAAAGTTATCAATATATTTAACCACACAAAATATCATAAGTATAATCACCATCTGTACCATAAATAATCAAGTGCATTCAACAATTAACTCTTCTAGTTCTTAAAAACTCATTTCATGCTCTCGAGTGAGCTCTAAAATTTACTTTCGTGGTGAAACAAAAACAGTTATATAACATGCCAGAATCAATCCTTCTACATGAACACAATTTACTCTCTATAAAATTACACATATGAACGGTAGAAAGTACGAGCAGAACTGACCTAACAATCTTGATTCTCATTGCAAAACCTTGCAAATATCCTCATAATCCACAGCCTGCAACACCCTTCCATCATAAATCCCCTTCTCAATCTGCACCTTCGCGCAAAACCTCTCCGTATTAACCGACAAAAGCCTCGCATTCGATCCCCTGTAAGCCCCGTTCACAATTCTAACGATCCCTCCAATCTGTGGAATCACAGTCTCAAGCTCCTCCTGATCAACCCTCAACACATGCTTACTCTCCAACATCTCGATCTCACCAACATACTTATCAATAACCCTCTTCACAACTCCCTTCTGTTTATAATACCCTTTCTCTTTCAAAGTCTTGCTCATTACTTTGACTACAATCCCTTCAAATAACCAATAATCCTTCCGATTGCTCCTCTCCTTCGCCTTCTCCTCCTCCTTCATCAACTCGTCCAACGCCGAGGACCCGACAGCTACACCCTTGCCCTTCTTAGCGCCTCTTTCAGATTCCTCCGCTGCCTCCTCAAACCCCAATCTCGCGCTTCTGGCCGCAGGCTTCTCCGCAGCATTCGAAGTGGGCTGAATCGCAAACTTCAACTTCTCCAACGGCTTCTCCGTCAGCCCCCCCTGCCGCTCCTCCTCCACAAGATCCGACCTTTGCCGCTTGTTCTTCATCTTCTCCTTGAAAAGAGTCTCCGAGTCCCGGTCAATGTAAGTGATGAACCACCCCTTCGGCGTCTCCTCGACCTTGCACTTCCCCGTCCGCCCGAGATACTTGACAAACTCCGTCAGCGTCGCCCACTGCGTCGAGTTCATGTGAACGTGGTGCCTGTCGGCGATGTACTCGTTGTAAACGACGGTGGCGGCGATGCGGGAGAACCGGTGGGACCGCTTCATGTGCTCGAGGAACATGGTCTCGAACTCCTCGGTGTAGCCGTCGATGACGCGGTGGGGGTTCTGGCCGAAGACCTGCATCTGGCGCTGGTGGCCCTCGCTCAAGCAGTGGCATTTGAACCCGTTCTCGTCTCGGCATTGTTTTTGGCACATCTGGCAGTACCACCGGAGCTTTTGGAGGCCCTTGGCTTTGATCCTGTTGGCGATTGCTTTGGGGGTGAGGAAATCGTTCTTGCCCATCTGGGGATTTTTTGTGTTTTTTTTTTTTTTTTCTTTTGGGGGGGGGGGGGGGGGGGGTTGTGAATTAGCGGTTTTTTTCCCTCTATTTTCTTCCTACGTTTTTGATCGGAAACCCTAGGTTTTTGACGGGAAATTGGGACTCGACCGGGGAGAAGAAGGAACTGGAAAGGGAAGGGCTGGGCTTTAAGGACTCTGAGCAAACCTCAAATTGGGGTAGGGGCTCTTTAATGGGCCTCAAAGTGGGCTTTATGTTTGGTTTCATTTGATGATGAATTAGGTACCGCTTAGGTTTGAGAATACGTAATACACGTGGTTAGGGTACATAATGTTCACCTTGAAGTTACACACTAAATAGGTCTTGATTATATGTCTAAATTATGAATTTGGATCCTCCCCACTATAAAAAAAAAATAGTTAAGAGACCGTTACTTTTAATCTTAATCATTTATTATTTAATAGGCTGTTATAATACAATCTAAATCTAACACTTACCGTACCCCCATGTATTGCGCTCATTCCTAATTTGCTCTTAAAGAAAAAAATCATAATTGTAGACTAGATAATTAATGATTTTGATTATGTAGTGGTCCTTTCACTACTTTTTTGAAAGTGGAGAGGACCCGAAACCCTAAGAGCAACTCCAATGGAGCGCCAAAACTCCATTTTGGAGTGTTTTGGCGCTCCAATGGAACGCCAAACACCGCGGGATGAGATCTGACCTGCGCTGGAGGGCTGAGATCTGGCGGCGAAGTGGGGCGGCGGGCTCGAGGGCAAACTCCGATTGAGGCTAGACAAACTAAAAAAATTAGGGGAAAATATCATTTTCTTTTTCGGCTTTGTATCCGGGGCGGTACTTGGGCCGTCTGGGCCCACAAGGGAGCCCGTGATGGAGAAGCAGAAGCCCAGGCCCATTAGGCAAGAGAGTAGACGGGCCGTGTTACGGGCATCATCGAGGCCTGAGTGAGGTCGGCCGTGCCAAGCAATTCCTGCGTGCTCTACCGCCTTCCCCAGGTTGTCGCAGCGGAAGCCGAACGCTTGCTCGTATGCAACTTTTAGATTGATCCAACTGTTCATAATTGTGGGCCGTAAGGAATTAGAGGTATTGTGCTAAAAATAATATCTCGATTATGGACTTCATGAGAAAACAAGCTAGCAGACGAACAAGCAAATAGACCTCATGAAAAGAGGACATATATTTTTCCTCCAAACAAATATACCTCCTCCGGGCAAAAGAGTAACTAAAAAAATCATCTAGGAGGTCTATCTGCAACAATAGAACAACAGAGGGCCTGCCTCAATCGGAGTTTGTCTAGCCTCAATGTGCTCGTTGGCTGAGATCTGCCCGCGAAGTGGAGCGACGGCAGGCTCGAGGTCTGAGCGCGGGTTGAGAGGAGGATGGGGGGAGGGGCTGGTGGGCAGATCTGGTCTAAGGGGCTGTTTGGTTCGTTTCCTAGATATAGGAAAATGCATTTCCATGTACAAAAACATAAGTTTTGAGTTTTCCAAATTTTTCCAAGAAATAGATTGTTTCGCTTTGGTTCGCACAAAAAAATGGTGGGAAACCAATGTATTTATTTTTCTTGTGTTTGGTTCGCATGGAAAAAAGGGAAAACTTTTGTTTATATGGCAAAAAGCCGACGTGGCTGCAGTTTTCGTCGATTTCACGAGGTTGAGGAAGGAATTGGGGGAGAAAAAAATCAGATCTGGCGACGATTTTCACCGAGTTTCCCTTCTTCAACCCTAGCGAACCAAAGATGGGAAAAAAACAGACGGAAAACTTATATCCTACGTGGGCACGAAAAATCTGATGTGGAGACGGTGTAAAACTTTTCCACCGAGTTAAAAAACGAACCAAACAGCCCCTAAGAAGAGAGTAAGGGGATGGAGTTTTGGGAAAGGGTTTTTTGAACGGATGGACCATATTAATTCGAGGGATGTTAAACGAACGGTTCAGATTAAGCATCCTTACATGCAATCTAAAGAGGTCCATATTGCCTTATATATATATAAAAAGGAACTGTAGTCACAAAAAAGGAACTGTAGTCACAAATAAAACATATGAAAGATATATTTTTGTATTAACATGTCAAAAATAACTTGTTCATAAGGAAAGAAATTGCACTTTACATGCAATCTAAAGAGGTCCATATTGCCTTATATATATATATATCACAAAAAAGGAACTGTAGTCACAAATAAAACATATGAAAGATATATTTTTGTATTAACATGTCAAAAATAACTTGTTCATAAGGAAAGAAATTGCACTTTACATTGCTTTTCAATTTTGACGGAACATGTTCCTCATTTATTGGTTTTGTCAAATATGAATCTATTCCTGAAAAAGTTGCCTTTTTTTCTTCCTCGGATGTTGCATGAGCTCTAAGAGCTACGATTGGAATGTGAGTGCCATAAAATTTCTCCTCTTCCCTAATTTTTTTAGTTGCTTCATAGCCATTCATAATTGGCATCTGAAAATAGAATATAGAATTTAGGAAATAAAGATGTGTTGTATCTTGGGATCTTGATGTAGATGGATGAGTTCCGCTTCTTCCTACAAAATCTTGCGTCAACCTCAACATTTCATACAATCGAGAAACATGAATTGGTTTTCTCAATATAAGATCATATGACTTTTGTTTTAATCTTCTCAATTCAGCACTTCGTGTATTTGCATTCACCAACCAACTTCAACTGAGTTATTTGATTATCTTTTGAAAAATTGTCCAAAGATTTGATCTTGTTTAGAGAATTCCCTCGCGATAATGCATCAAAATTCAAGAACCGCTATCGGTATGTTTACATTTTTCAAGCATGGGATATAGAAGTCCCCAATTTTGAACTATCCAAACCTTCATTCCAATATTTTCCATCCATCTTTGCAAAATTATTTTCGTCTCATTACTTTCAATCAAAAGTGGGGAATGAAATCCTTCCATTTTAAAAGACTTCATAAATGCCATAGCTCGAAGAGTTGGTTGGTTTGATGCTTGTTGGTTGTGTGAATATTTACTTTCTTCTTCGGTATGATTGAAGGCCATCTCACAAGATTTCAGAAAAATATTAAATCTGAAACAAGTTCATTCTTCACCATGCTGTTTATCTTGAATGTTGATCTCGCCCCCCATTAAACATAGGGGTGTCCATTTGGGCCCCCGGGCAGGACCCGGCCCGGGCCCGAGTTTGGCCCGAAAACCCGGGCCAAACCGGGTTCCGGGCCCAGGCCACCTCGTCGATGCCCAGCCCAATATTTTTTATATATCTTTTTATGTATAATACAATTTGTTTATGTATAACATATGTATAGAATATATATATATATGTATATATATATATATAGAGAGAGAGAGAGAGAATGGAAAAACTTGGTATCAAGTTGCTCCAAACAACTTGGTAGTGATGTGGCCTAATCTGGTCCCTACATCTACATTGGAGTTTGTGAAAGGTGGTTGAGGCTCTATCTTCGAGGTGTGATGTAGGGGCCAGATTAGGCCACATCACTACCAAGTTGCTTGGAGCTGTCCGAGCCAACTTGCGTACCAATGTTCTCCATTATCTCATATATATATATATATATATATATACTATATATATATATATAATATATATATATATATTATATATATATATATATATTATATATATATATATATATATATATATATATATACTATATATATATATGAGGAATATCGGTATGCTTGGTACCTCAAGCACAAATTTTGTGCTTGGTAGTTGAGGTGCGCACAATCACCATTCACTTCATTCAAATGGGGGGCGCACATTCACATGGGGTCTGAGGAGTGCATGGGGCTATGCAACGCATTTGAATGGGATGAGGGGATTATGCCCACTCACTACCACAAGGCACATCTTTTTGTGCTTGGTACAGCATACCCATTTGTTCTTAATTTATATATTATATATATAATATATGATATATAATATATATATATATATATTATATTAATAGTATATATATCATATAAATAATATATAATATATATATATATATATATATATATATATATATATATATATAATGTAGTTATAAGTATACTTATATGTCATATGTGTATATTATAGAATTACAGTTATATAAGTATATTGTATAATTGCATAAGTATAATAATATATACGTATATTGCATCTAGTATATATAAAAGTATATCATATAAGTAAATTGTATAATTATCCTTAAATAAGCATAATATAAGTATGTAACAAATACATACATAACTACATAATACGTATTTATAAATAAGTAATATATGCTTATGCGATTCTCTCTCTCTCAAGTTATAACTTATAAATATATACAATATATTTACATATAATATATGTATATATAATATATAGTTATATAATAATTTGTAAGTATATACTAATACATAAATATAATAGGGTTAAACTAATTTTTACCAATTTTTTATCCAAAAAAAAAGAAAAGAGAAAAAAATGAAAATGATCGGGCCAGCCTGGGCCAACCGGGTCCGGGCTCAGGTTTTGCCCGGCTCGGATGGACACCCCTAATTAAACGTACCTAGAAAAAAATTTATAGAAGTTAACATTGATTTGAATATATAAAATATATAAGAACTTATTGTAGCAAGAATGTAATAAAAAATTTATACTTACAAATGATTGAACAATTCCAAGACCTAAACCAGTGCCTTCATGTCCTTGAGGAGATAATTCTTTAACTTGAACATAATTTTCAAAAATAGATGCTCTTTTTTCCTTTGGTATTCCCAATCCACTGTCCTCAACCTCAAAAACAATTCAATCATACTTGAATAATGTAGAGAAGTATTAAGAGTCATCACATCAGAGTAAACATCATCTTTTCGGAACCATCTCAACTTAGAGCAAGAAAACTTAGGAAATCGATATGATTGTTTTGAAGAATGTATAGAATTTTCTAAGCTCGGTTTCTTAGCCCATGCACGCAAAATTACATGGCCCTTCAATGTGAATTTCACTGCATTACCAAGTAAGTTATCAAGGATTTGCTTAAGCCTCCTAC